GCCACATGGGAGGTAGGGCAAGACTTACATAGTCGTTACCCGGAGTTATTTATGTGAATTTCGGGGACGAAATTCTTTTAAGAGGGGGAGAATTGTAACGCCCTACTTGAGGTACTTACTTAAGATTTGCTATTTTGCTTAAATGTTTATTGATTCAGCTTTAATTGAGTTTGTATATTGAGTTGGTTGAGTGTTTGCCTTGAAATTGTTTGAGATTTGAGGAATTTTAGATTTGCAGTCTTCGCCGGGGCGAAGAATAGTCTTCGCCTCGGCAACGTTGGCCTTGAGTAAGGCGGTGTAGGCTTTGTATTTCTTCGCCAGGGCGACGGAAGTTTCTTCGCCACGGCGACGAGCCGACTAAAATGTGTATTGAGATTTCTAGATATTTTTTCCATAAGGGTTAAATGACCATTCTACCCCTAATTAGTAGGAAAAGTGCGGAGTAAAATGTAAGGAAATTTCATGGAGAATATGTTAGTGTGGGGGTGTGATTGTAATGAATCAAAGGATATAGGTGGGATTTCCAAGAAAGAGCAAGGGCATTATGGGAATGAATGAGGATATTTTGAGCTAAAAAGGGTTGAAGCTTAGTGAACCCTTCATTCATTCTTCTTCCACTGCCTTCTTCATTCTCCATTCCTCTTAAGTTTTCCTTCAATCTTTCAAGGATTCAAGAGGGCTTTTTGAGTAGTTTGAAGTGGGAAGTTATTCTAAAACATCTTAAGGTAAGGATTCTTGCTTTAGATGTTAATTTTACCTTTATATGAAGTGAAGTCTTATAGCATGGTTGGTTAAAATTGTAGAGAATAGACATGTTATCAAAGGTAAAGAGAAGTGCAAGTGGAATCACTCCATCACAAGTAAGTAAAATCCAACTCAAGCTAAAGTTTAAGAAATCATTTGAGTAGAGATTTTCTTTATGTTTGTATGTATTAAGCTTGTTGAGAAATTGAGTTGAGATGTTATGAGTATTTATCCATGTTGTGATTGATTACACTTCATTTAAGAGAAGTGTTAAAATGTGATGAGAGGATGTAGTTTGAGATGGAGTTTGGAAGGTTTTGAGTGAACCTTTTTAGAAGTGTTATTCCTTGGCAGGATTTGTAGCTTTGTGAGGGAGTTTTCTCCCATTTTGGATGGTTAGAGAAAGAAATAGAGCTATTGTTATAATAGAGTTTGTATATGCACTTGAGTTGTTTGATGAAATGCCTAAGAGAAGCATGAGAATGATTTATGAACCTTAATTATTGCAACATTGCATATTGGCATTTCCTAAGTGCATTAATGAGCATGAACCATCCATATGCATTAATTGTGCATTGAGAAAGAACTTGAGAAAAAGTTGAGAAAGAGTAGTGAATTACTCTAAAAGTTAAGCTACACTATGATGAGTAGCTAGAGAAAGAGTAGAGACCTTGTGCACAAGCTACCCTAAGAGTTAGAGAAGAGAATATAGTAAGTTGTGCGATGGGGAACCCGTGAGTGATGAATAGAGTCACGAGAGTGAGTGTTTTGTGATCCCCAGCCATGCCTCCGGTCAGAAGAAGCCGTGGCCATCACGAAGAGTGGAACGTGAGGTTCCAGCCATGCCACTGGTGCAGAAGTGGTCGTGACATTCAAAGAGAGAGAGAGAGAATACATTCACATGGCCAAGGGTTCCGAATCCATGCATGACCAAATCCGATCGGTAGAGAAAATGAGTAAGTCACGAAGAGTGGGTGCTTTGTGATTCCCCAGCCGTGCCTCCGGTCAGAATACGCCGTGACATACATCAGAGAACTTATAGAGAAGAGTATGAGTAACAGAAACAGAAAGAAAACAGAGATGAGAAAAGGTCACGAGTAGTGGGAGCTTTGTGATCTTCCGGCCGTGCCTCCGGTAAGACAGGGCCGTGACATATGAGTGAGTAAAAATTGCGCAGAGCGGGCTTGAGTTCCCGGCCGTGCCTCCGGTGAGATGAGGCCGTGACATTCAAATGAGAAAGAACAGAGAGAAAAAAGTATAAGTCACGAAGAGTGAAGCGAGTTCCAACCATGCCTCTGGTAAGATGGGGCCGTGACATTTAAGAAACAGTTGATAAAAAAAGAGCTATGTGGAAGAGAAACAGAGAGAACGAGAGAATATTGTAAGGAAAAGAATTAAGAGAAAGAGTTACGGGGATAAATTAGTAGAGGATTTACTTACTTAGCCTTTTTTTGCTCACCTCGTCATTTTCCTTTGTGGTTGCAGGTTCTAGGTGAGGATGCAGTCGGATGAGCGTCGGCAAGCGAAGAGAAATAGTTACACTGTCCACCCTGTTTTTTAGAGCTTTTGTATATATAATACTTTATATTTGTGTAAAGTATATGTATATTTAATAAAAGAAAATTTTGGGCCCATCTATTTTTGTTATAATACATGTATTTTATTATATGTATTTTCTGAGTATATGAGTAGAAAGCAGCTGTTACAGAAACTCACCATCGACCATGCCATATCTAATAAAGTACAGTTCCTCCTTTTTGACATACCGTTATGTTGTAGTGTATTCGGAGGAGTCAACTGGGATATTATACCATTATCTTTAAAAACTCTCGAAATTCTGTACTCAAGTATTCACCATCACGATCTGATCGTAGAATCTTAGTACTCCTTTTGGTTTGTTTCTTTACTTCATTCTTGAACTCTCTGAACTTTTCAAAAGATTCATATTTATATTTCATCAAATACATGTACCCGTACCTAGAATAATCGTCAGTAAAGGTAATGAAGTATATATTAAAAATCTGCTCGAGCCATTTCACTAAATGGTCTGCATACATCTGAATGTATTAAATTCAATAATTCGTTGGATCTTTCCCCTTTACTCTTAAAAGGAGATTTTGTCATTTTTCCTTGAAGACAAGATTCACAGGTCAGATAGGGTTCTGAACCCAATGGGATTAAAAGCTCATTTGCTTCTAACCTGATTATCCTTGTATCTCCTATATGACTTAGTCAATGATGCCAAGGTAATTTAAGATTTATTTCATTTCGAGTTCTTTTATTAGTAATGGTATTAATTATGTTATGATAATTATATTCTTCAACATACAAACCATTTACATTGATAGCTTTGCCAACTAATTTATTTCCAATAAACTGTATTTTGTAACTAGATTTACATAAAACAGAAACAGAAATGATATTTCTGATCGCTTTGGCAAAAAAAAAAAAATTTGTACAAACACAAAATGTGTCCTAATGGCAATGTCAAATGGCAAGTCCCTATGGTCTAACCATAACTTTTTCTCCATTTGCCATCTTCAGAATGGTTTCATCTTTTGACAATGCAGAACTATTCTGAAGTGCCAGTAATGAGACAAATATGTGAGATGTAGCAACTGAATCTAATATCCAACAATGATAATTTGAATTATCACTTAATTCAAATTTTATAACATAATAATGGAATATACATACTCGAACTTTCTTCAAGCTCTCGAGATATAGAGGACGAATCCTCTTTGAATGTCCATCTTTCTTGCATTGGAGGCCCTACCCTTCATCTCTCTTCCAGTGTGACATATGAAACTATAGAGAGTGGAAGGGATGCTTCCATAACATACGCCGCCTTTTCAAAATTGAGAACAATTCTCAGGCTCCTCAACCAATCTTTGAAATTTGGTCCGGTCAACTGGTTGTCATCTAAAATCCTCCAAAGAAGATTACTGCTCATTTTCAACTAAATATCACACAACTATTGTAAAGAGGCTGTGAGAAATTAAAACATTTTATCAGAGTCTTGTAAATTTAAACCTTTAATGCTAATCTAGTTAACTCTCACTATTTTATTCGAATCTCATACCCCTAAATGACTATTCGAAAATTTCTTTGAAATAAATTTCTAGTGGAGAATCAAATTCTTATCAAATTTAATAAACCTCACATAATAGAAATCTTGGTCCATTAAATTCAATAAGTATGAAACTATTTCCTTGAATTTAGAGCATATTGCATAACAATCCCTAGGATATTTTATGAAATTCAAGGTGACCGCAACGGTCATTAGACTTAAGCAAAACTTTTTAATTTAGGCCTTCACATGTTTAATTATAACTAAGTATTTTTATTATTAAGAGAATACTATATATGCATTAAAAATTGTAGTAAAAATAAATATATTTTACTCTGTTATATTCCAAATGTTTTTAGATATTACAACTACTGTATGGATATTATTAAGTAAGAATATCTTGAGATTTATAACATTCACATTAGAATGAATATAGAGGAACAGTTTTCAAAAATCACACACCATAATAACCATTCCGTCATCCTCATCAAATTTACAATAAATTCCCATTTCATAAACTTGTAAAACAGTTTAACGCAGTACAAACCTTCTGCGTTCTCTGTATCTTGACCTCTTGAGTCTTGAAAACTTCGAATTTTCATTGCCAACTTCTCAATCGTAGAGTTAGTTATACATAGTACGTCGTTGTGATATTACAGCTTCAAGTTTGCAGGAAAAAATAATTCTAAATTACATGCAATCTCTCACCTATCTTAACATAAACATGACGGCTAAAAGTAACTAATCTGTAGCATTCATTTCCAAATCTGACAGCAGGAATAGTGTCGTACATGTGAAAAAAGAAAAATAAAAATTAGGGCATCAAACCTTTTCACTTTAAAGATCGACTAACTGCATGTGTAATTGTCTAATATCACTCCTACATTAGTTGATACTTCAAGGGGGTTTTACCTGGAATGAAAGAAGAAAAATGAATGGATTCATGAAGGTTTAATTACTGAAGCACTTCCCAATGGTATGCTCCGGGTTCGTTTATATACTGAAGTCAGATTCGAAGTTATGTTTCAGGAAGGGCTCGACACAGTTTTATACGTATACTATCTGGAGATAGAGCCTAAAGAGTCAAAATTGAAGTAAGTCGTTATGGTTCAAATGGAGGGAGTATAATTTATAGACTCCACAACAAGGATTCGAATGATTAGGCGGTTTATCAACATTCCTTTCCAGTCTTTTCACAGATTAATCAGGTTTGATATTTCCTGTAACTTATTTAACACTTCAGCAAATTGACTCTCTCTCTGTCTTCCTCTGGTGCACATCCTCCAATTGTGGAATAATGATTTAAAGTTTTTCCTTCAAATTTCCACCAGCCTTTCGATCACACTGAAGTCCTCAACCAACACATACAAATTATCAACCACTTAAAAAATTTCACTATATTAACTAAGAAGTATAGTTACAGCATTAGTCTTGTTTCTTCAATCCAAAAGGAACATACATTCACAGGTTGCTCTCCCCCAATGAAGAACATATACTAGCAATTTCAGATTCAGAAAGAGCAATTGCTCTCTGAAGTTGAGCTCTAGAAGTTTTTGCCTCATCTATTTTTCTCCCATATACTGCCAAGCACTCCTGTTCAATCTCCATTATTGTCTGATCCCTTTCAATATCAGGCTCTCCAAATTCATCCCATATTTTCTAATTTCAAAAATAATTAACAGAAAAGACTGCCAACATTACGATCCACCAACAGAACAAACACCAACAAAAATGTTGGAATATAATAGTAGCATCAACCAAGTAAATTCATTCTAAAATACTAAAACTAACAAATGATTTTAAATGGTTTGAATTGTGAGTTAAATTCATTTTCCAAGCTTTCCCATCTCTTTTATAAACAACAAAAGTTTTTTGAATAATGCAAGCTACAAATAAAGGCAAGACAACATTATAATATGTTAAACACTTGGTCACCTTTCTTCTACTGGGAACTCCCCACCAAAAAACAATGAGAAAACCCCAAAAGGCATCAAAAAGATGAGAACACGATTCATCCATGATTATGTGATAACTTCGACCCCAAAAGATGCAACCAAAAAAAAAAAAAAAAAACATAATTATTCAAGATCAACTCAACCAACATGGCAAATAGCCTTGTCATTAGTTAATCATGACCTTATTTCATTAAAATTAATACCTTCTCAGTATTAGAAGCTGAAGCCTCAAGCTGTCCATTCCTCTCCTCCAATGTCTTCTGCAATCTACAAATCTCCTCCTCCATGTTCTTAGCCTTTGTTTCTGCCTCCTGTGAAAAACCATAAACAAATTAAACTCAATTCTAATAAACAATTTCAAACTCACCCCACTTGACCCCACAAACAAAAAGTTCCCCAAAAGGCAAAAATGATTGAATCCAAGGCTTGAACAAAAAGAAACCCTTATGAATTGATCATCAAAACAACACAAAAAGAATTCAAATCAAGAATCAAATTACAAACCTGTCTTGTTAGGTTCTCTTTAACAAAAGACTGCTCTTGAGATGCCAAACGGCTCCTAACCTCCTTCAACAAACAGCTTTCAACTATCTCACAGATTGTAACATTCCACAAATCAAAACCCTTACATGAGACAAAGTGCTTTCTGTAATAGAAAAGCACTTCCGAATAGCAAAAATCCCTTTTGTATTTTTCAGCTAAAATAAGACATAAGTGCTTTATCAAACTTATAACAATAAGTGTGATCCATAAGTTTTAAAATGAAATCAAACCCACCATAAAAAATGCAAAATCAGAAAGTTATAATCAGATTTGAGCATCGAAGCGTTCAAATTATCATAAAAATTGAAGTGTGATTAATGATAAAAGAGGTACCTTTTGAGGACGAAAACTTGGTTATTGGTGGTGGTGGTGGTGGTGGTGGAAGGCGGTTGTTCAGATCGGCGAATGGCGTCGTGGACTTTTTCAAGAGAGGTTTGGGGTTTCGACTGTTTTCCAAATGCAAGCGGGAACTGAGCTCGGATTCCGTCGTATATCTCTGCTTAGTCTTCCATTATTGGCTATATAATTAGAGAGATGGGTCGTGTAACGAAGAAGATAGAAGAGGAAACGTAAGGAGAGTAATTTGAAGGTGAACGCTTCGACTGTTTAAGAGACGGTTGGAACAAAATTTTTTCACGTCATTCGTTGTATAGTTTCTATGCACAGATTCGATATACAACTTTCGATAAGATATCATTTTTCCTTTTAGAATACGCATTAATATCTTATTAAAGGACACATCCGCGTGCTAGGTAATTTTGGAATATCAATGGAAGCATTAATATTTTATTAAATTATTAATAAAGTTATTAATATTTAGAGTAAACAACATGTTCCCACCCGAGGTTTGACGAAATCCAAAAGTAATACCACTGGTTTCATTTATTCCAGATTGCCACCATTAAACTAACAGTGTTAGTCACTGTTGGATTCAGAAGAGGGCAATTACCAAACTGCCCTCCCATCTTCGTCTTCTTCTTCATCTCCCCCTTCTTCTCTTCTGCCGCTTCTCTCTCCCTCCCACAGCCACAGCACAGCCACCACCACGCTCCTCTCTCCCTCCCGAAACCCCAAAGCCACCACCACCACCACCACCCATCGCCATTCCACCCATCTACCGCCATTGCAATCCCTCACCACCGCCCGATCTTTGTCTTCTTCTTCTTCTCCCCCTTTTTCTCTTCTGCCGCTTCTCTCTCCCTCCCACAGCCACAGCCATAGCCATAACCACGCTCCTCTTTCCCTCCCGAAACCCCAAAGTCACCACCACCACCACCACCACCCACCACCATTCCACCCATTTACCGCCATTGCAATCCCTCACCACCACCCGATTTCGGTCCCATTTGGCTCGATCTCGGCTTTGTTGGTCGTCCTCATCATCACCACAAACACCACCACCCTTCCACCTCCAAAACCTCCATTTTCCCCGATAGTGGTAGAGGGGAAGCAGTTGGTGGAGAGAAGAGAGGAAGAAAAAGAGGAGAAGAAAAAGAAGAAGAGGAAGAATCTGGTGGAGAGAAGAGAAGAAGAAAGAGAGAAGAAAAAAGGAGAAGAAGAAAAAGAGAAAGAATCTGGAAGAGAAGAGAAGAAGAAAAAGAAAAAGAAAAGGAAAAGGCAAAAGGAAAAGAGGAGAAGAAGAAGGAAAGCAGTCAACGGTGGTGTGTTGAGAGAAATGGGTTTTGACACTTTTACCCTTAACCTTTTAAAATAAAACAAACAGTGTTAAATTAAGGGTGGGTATCCGGAATAAATCAAACCAAGGGTATTAACCTTGGATTTCGGTAAACCATAGGTGGGAACATGTCGTTTGCTCTAATATTTATTATTAATAATGAACAATATCAAATACCAATTATAATAAGTTACATAAGCGTCAAGTCTAATTTATCAATCTATGCCACCTCATTACCAATAATATTTAACCAAATGTCAAGAATTCATATCATCACCAATCAAATACAATCATGTATTGGATAATCTATAGATGTGGCAAAATAAAAGAATTATAGGTTGTGTTTAGCTTATTATTTCTGTCAATATTCTCAATCTTATTCTCCAAATAATGTTTGACATATTATTCCATAAATATTAGCCTATTTTTTAATTACTTTTAGACTCCATAAGGTTATTAATTTTATTAAATATCCCATAAAAAAAAGTTTAAAAAGTAACAAAAACATTCCTACGATCCATACTTGTCAGATTCTGACAACCATCATCGGTGGTAGCCAGAATCTGTTACAACAGTGAATTACCGACTGGAACTGACCGATAATTCACCGATCTGGCCTTTTTTAAAAGGCCAGATCTGGCCGTCAGTGACGGCCAAAGAAATGGCTGTCGTTGACAGTCAACGACGGCCAAATCTTGGCCATCATTGACCGATAACGACGGCCAAAGATGGCCTTCTTTGGCCTTTTCCGGCCGTCAACGGCCACATATGGCAGTAGATCTGGCCTTTTTCGGCCAGATCCGGCCGGTATGTGTTGTTATGCAATTTTTCGGCCAGATTCCAGCGGTGGTGGCCGGAATCTGGCAATGCGAGTGTTGGGGTTTTTTTTGTCATTTTACATATTTTTATATATTGGGTTATTTATTAAATTAGCAAACTTAGAGAGTTTTTTTATAAATTTTTAAATTTTATCTCGTAATACTCCCATATTCAATTATCTAATATTATCTTCAAAATCCTATCCAAAATAATAAACCAAACGTACCCATAGCTTCTTAAAATAACAATCATATAACTTATGTTTCAGGATATTTTATTTTTATATATATAAGCCTTCAAATTGTGTCGTTTTCGGCTTTAGTGATGCGCTGTTGTTTCAAACAAAATCTCTTTTGCATTCTTGGCCATTGATCTGTGACTAATTCAACTGCTGAAAATCCTCTCGTGGTCAACGGTATAAAAGCAAAAGTTTTTCCAGTTTGCACAGTTCACTTCAATTGTAAAAATTGTGATATAAAATCCTCTGCTAAGGTTCTTCATCTTTTATTGTTCTCTTATGTAAATCGGGTTGTTAATCCACCAAAAATTGTGTTTCTTTTGAGGGTAGAGAATCGGGGATAGATTTCTCTATATGATTTTAAATTTACAGTGACAAGAGAGAAGAGAGATTGTGGTTCTTGCGAGTGAGTGTTTAAGTATGTGATTGAGGATTATAATATGTAATTTCGTGGTAATAATAGTACAGCGAGTTTCTATATTCTGAATCTTAACATGGATATAACTTATTCAATAACAAATGAACCACGATATTCTTCTTTTACTTGCGTTCGGTTGATTAGCTTTCTAATCTTGATTAGACAGCTTCAATTTATAACAGTATGTTTGTCAGACTGTACACTCTTTACTGCCGGTTTTAGTGTTCTATTCCAAAATTATTGACGTTTCCACTACTTGGAAATCTGCTGTGCTGACATGTTGTGCCCTTCTCTGTCTTTCTCTATATATAAAAATGAACGAAATTATGGGTACAGGAAAATTTTACATCGAAAATATATATCCATTTACATATATGCGTAACTTAATTTTTTTATGAATATTTTTCTAATAAATATCCATCTATCAAATATGGACAATCATTAACTAAAAAATATTTATAAAAAAATCGAGTCATACATATACATAAATTAATATATATTTTTGATGTAAAATTTTTAATGTTCGTAATTTTGTTGCGTAAAAATTATATTTCTTCAAATTTGTGATACTCCATCAAAGAAAAAAAAAATGGTTCTTGTCTTATCAAGGTACAAATCAGTGGCCTCACCTCCTCATGGATGTCAGACGTGGTCTTCTGTCAATAAGGTTCGAATTCGGAATTTCTTTAAAATTTTCTTTTGTAGAATTTTAGTGTGCCCACAAAATTTTTTAGTTGTTTTAATGAATTAATGACTTACGTGTATTTATCTTGACATTGACATTTCTAATAGACTTAGAAATTTGTTCTGAACTTTCAAAATATATTCCTTTTTATATCTTCAGCTGCAGATATATTTAAGTTTTAAATTCCCCTTTCTCTCTCTCTCTCTCTCTCTCTCATTTTAATCTTATACATTTTTTTCCAAAATAATTATCGTTTGGCCAAATGCATTTATCGAAGTATACCTTTATCTCCTCCCTCTATTTCCCTCACCCATCATCTCCTCTCTCTCTCTCTTTCAAAAGTCATTTAATACAACAATAACATTACAGACACCAAAAAAATTATACCAAAATTTTGTATCAATCTACGTGTAACACGCATCTAAATTTTTTTATAATTTTTTTCTAGTGAACGTTTGGACGGCCGTTTACTCACATAGACGCCCGTCCATATTATATAGACGGGCGTCCATATACAAGGGACAAACGTCTCCATTTAAAAGACGCCCGTCCATAAATAAAATACAATAAAAAAATTTACAAAACATTATGGACGGCCATTCATAGGTTGTGGACGGCCGTCCCTTAATTTTAGACGGGCGTCCGCAAATACGGAACGCCCGTCCAAACTTAATTTGTTTTAAAAAATAAAATAAAAAATTTGGACGCCCGTCCATAAATTATGGACGGGCGTCCCTTAAGTTTGGACGGATGCCCACAAATAATGGACGCCCGTCCTTGACCCAAATATGAAAAAAAAAAAAAAAAAAAAACTTGGGGACGCTCGTCCACCAATTGTGGACGACCGTCCATCAATTTTGACGACCGTCCCTTACATTTGGACGGGCGTCCATTACATTTGGACGCCCGTCCATACTTTTAATAATAAAAAAAATTTTAAACAAAAACCCATTCTTCTGTTGCAAACATCTTCGTCTTCATTCCCCATCTCCTCTCTTTTTCTTCGTCTTCATTGCCAGTGGTGCGTCCATTTCACTGCCCAAATATGACTGTGGGGTTAGAGTTTTTGATATGGAAAAGTGTCAACTCTCTAAGCATTTCCATTTTCCTTGGCGAGTGATGTAAGTTAGTTACATTCAACAGTCCATCTGTCCATATAGTATGTGGTGCCTTTGTTGACAGGAGGGTTTTGTGCTTCATTTTCGGGGCAATATATGAAGCACTTGCAGGCTGAAGCTTTCAATTGATTTTTTTTTTTTTTTATTTTGTGCTTTTCAGCATACTTCGCTGAGTCCTGATGGTAAACTTCTAATAATTGTTGGAGACAACCCAGAGGGTATGTTGGTGGATTCTACACTGGAAAGGTAATTATCTATACTGTTGTCCATATATCTTTTTCCCTTCCTTTTTTCATTTATTTTTCTGGAAGCTGATAAAAAAATGACTTGGTGTCTACTGGTGCATGATACTAGATCCTGCAAATAGAAATTAAGCTTTACTGATTTATATTTGTAATTTTCACAGACCGTCAATCAGTTGTCTGGGCACTTGGATTTCTCGTTTGCATCAGCATGGCAACTAGACGAAGAAAAGAAGGAGGAATGAAGACGAAGAAGAAGAATAATGGTTTTTTGTTTAGGTTTTTTTTTTTTTTTTTTATTAAAAGTATGGACGAATGGACGGCCGTCCAAATGTAAGGGACGGGTCCAAATGTAATGGACGCCCATCCAAACATAAATTTATGGGCGGCCATCCCCAAAGTTTTTTTTTTTTTTTTTAACATTTGGGTCAAGGACGGACGTCCATTATTTGTGGGCGCCCGTCCAAACTAATTGTGGACGGGCATCCAAATTTTTTATTTTATTTTTTAAAACAAATTAAGTTTGGACGGACGTCCATTCCTTATGGACGCCCGTCCAAACTTAATGGACGGGTGTCCCGTATTTACGGACGCCCGTCCAAAATTAAGGGACGGCCGTCCACAACCTATGAACGGCCGTCCATAATGTTTTACAAATTTTTTTATTGTATTTTATTTATGGACGGGTGTCCTTTAAATAGAGACGCCCGTTCCTTGTATATGGACATCCGTCCATATATGGATGAGCGTCCATGTGAGTGAACGGTCGTCCAAATTTAATGGACGGTCGTTCACTAGAAAAATATTATAAAAAAATTTAGACACGCATTACACGTAAGCTGATATAAAATTTTGGTGTAATATTTTCGATGTCCGTAGTGTTATTGATAATACAATCATCATTGCTTTTTCTTCTTCCATTTCCCACTCACTGTCAGAGGGAGAAGCAAAGAGAAAAAAATTTTACATTAAAAAATTAGTTTATTAAAAAACGTATAATAACTTACAACTACTTTTATTTCGAAAACGGAGGGTGTATTTGACTGTCATAAATTATATAGCTTGTTATGTAACACTTAGAACATTCTCCCTAAGAAATGGATGAT